AGAGAGAGAGAGAGAGAGAGAGAGAGTGTGTGTGTGTGTGTGTGTGTGTGAGACCTTTAAGAGAAGACGGGGCTGAGGGTGAAGCTCCGTGGTAGAGACCTTGCCTAGCATCACATCCCCAGCACTGCGAAAAACTAAAGCACTTAAAAAAATGAAAAAGACAAGAAACTACAGCTATAAACTGGGGCATGAAGGAAGGCGTCCGCCGTAAACGTGCTGCTGCTTCTCCACGCGCGCGGAACGGCAGAGCTACGGGGTGATTTATCCCAGCAGTGTTTGTAATCACACAGAAAAATGAGGGCAAGGCCACAGAGGAGGGAAAAGGTCCCAGAGCAGTTCTCGGAACAAGCGGCAGAGTCCTAGGCCGCCGTAGAGGGGTGTGGTGACGTGGAAAGATCTCGAAGATGTATTGTTAAGTCAAAACAGAATGGTGTTGCCTCCGTGTGAAGAAAGAAGGGAAATAATATTCATTCGTATGTGCCCTCTGCAGTTTCTTTTCTTTCTTTCTTTTTTTTTTTCTTCTTTTTGCGATGCTAGTGATGGAACCCAGGGTCTAGTACGCGGTAGGCAAGTTCTAGGCGAGCACTGTACATTCATGCGTGTTTGTCTATGGATACAGAGCCTAGGATTGAGTACACTGTGTGTACAGGGGAGGAGCTGGAGGATGCAGAGATGGGAGGTGTAGAAGGGAGATATGTTATTTGCCTTTTTCAAAAATCTGACTTATGTACATATTTGAAAAGTCAGGGAAGGGCCGGGCGTGGTGGTGCCTGCCTGTTATCCCAGCACTCGGGAGGCTGAGGCAGGAGGATCACAGGGGGTTCCAGGCCACCCTATACTACACAGTGAAACCCTGTCTCAAAAACAACAACAACAGCAACAACAACAAAACAAGCAAAAGAGGAAAGACAGGGAAGCCGTGAGGGTGTTGCTGGGCAGTGGAGCATTTGCTCAGCATGCACGAGGCCCCCAGGGTAACCCCCACTTCCCCACAAGGCACTATTACATTAATTAATGTAGCAAACGTCCTGGAAGGTGGATGCCCCCTCACCTCGCCTGCCTCCCCGCAAGGCTCCCTGTGCTGTTTTCCTTGCTGGCCGTTCTGCTGCTTCTGTTGGTGGGGCTCTCGCTGCTGGCCTGGAGGATCTGGCAGAGACGGCTCAAAGGTGAGTGGGCTCCTGAGAGCCCTGGCCCTGCCCCAGGGACCCCTGACCCAGGGTGCTTTGTTCCTGACCGCAGCTGTCACGGTTGGTCAGCGCTCTGTCCTGGCTCCTCAGAGGGCACTGAGAGCACCTGGGGCCACACCTGGTGGCTGGCACTCTGGAGCTGGTCTTCCTGGGGAGGCTCCCGGAGGAGGCCTTTCCAGCTGGGGCTGGGGTGTCGCCCTCTTCTGCTTTCCACACCCTCCAAATGCTGTCTGGCCCTGCTCACTCCTCCCCACCCCATTCCTGGGCCCTGGAAGGTCCTTCCCTTTTTTTTTTCTCTCTCTCTCCCTCTTCTTTTCTTTTGAGACAAACCAAAACTGCAAACAAGGACCAAAAGGTATAATAGATACTGAGAAATGAGAAGAAAAGGAAAAGGGGAACAAGGGAGGGGAGAGGGGAGAGGAAAGAAAAGGACAAAGGAAAAGAGAGAGAGACGAGGTCTTGCTAAGTGGCCCAGACTGGCCTCAAATGAGTGATCTTCCTGCCTCGGCCTCCTGAGTTCTGGGACTATGGGCTTGCACCACCACAGGTGGCTAAGGAAGGCCCCTTTCTGTGACTGTTCATCACCTGGCTCAGCCTGAGCCTCTCCTGGGTTTGCTGTGGCACCTGGAATGCCTCCCTGGTCCTCTCTTTGGCTCATTTCTTCCGGACTCCAAAGGCTAACCTCAGCCTCCCTCTCCTCTAACATCTTTTTGCTTCCAGGACCCCAAGAGTATCTGAGGGACCCTTCCTGGTGTGCCTCCGCCCCTCACCTGTCACAGCCCTTTAGGAGCTAGACAGTCCAGCTTCCCTGACTGCCTCTGTAAACCTGTGCCTTCCTGAAGGCCAGGGCCATGGTCCTAGGGGCCCGCTATCCATATCTGTTGGGTTTAGAAGCTGTTTGTTTGTTGTGTGTGTGTGTGTGGTACTGGGGAGTGAACCCAGAGTCTCTGCACTGAGCCACATCTCCAGACCTTTGTAAAATTTTGAGGTAGGGTCTAAGTGTGCTACACCTTGTTTAATGTGAGTTTTCATACCTCCAGCCACACAGGCACCCCAGGAAGCTCCAGGAATCCTGTAGCCCCATTTTTCCTCTGAGCTCAGATTGACAGAGAGCATGTGTGAGGCCCCTGGTACCACATCCAGCACTCAGTAAATAGGTGCTTAATAAACACCTGAAGACAGGTCAAATAAGTACAGGAGCTAGGTGTGTGGCACACACCTGTAATCCCACCTCAGGAAGACTGAAGCAGGAGGATCCCAAGTGTGAACCCCACCTGGGCAACTTAGCAAGACCCTGTTTCAAAATAAAAATTAATTGAGGAAAGAAACACAGCGGAAGAGCACTCAGGATCCCATGAGAGGAGGAATCTCAGGGCAACCTTTGTCTGTTTTGGCCAACACCTCAGGCTGGGCTGCAGTGAAGTCGGAGTGGCAGAGATGGGTTACTCTGTCCACGGCTGCAGGTAGAGCTGGTGTGTGCTACCGGAAACGGGATGGGAGTCTCACAACACTCACTTCCGGCCCCTAGGTAGTGCACATCTAGGGAAGAGTTCAGCCCGGCACTTCTGCATCGGATGAAGGGAAAGAGGACCACTTCCGCTTTCCCTTCTGCTTTCTGCTGTCACTTTCTGGAGCCTCACATGGACACGTGGACGCCACTGCCCATGTGTGGTTTCCCAGTCTGGTCTTCCCCAATTCTGTGATCTCAGCAGATCCCGTGCTCTTTCACCCAGAAAGCCTCTGGCTCCCCAAATAGCCTCTTCGTCTTTCCAAAAGGGGTATGTGATTACTGGAGGGAATTTGAAAAGTAAGAAAAAGCACAAAGAAGGAAATAAAGTCTCCTAGGCTTAGTGAATGATAACCAAAAAGCCCACGCCCAGGGAAAACCAACCACTGGCACTGAAGGCACATTCCTGCAAAGCTTTCTAGGCCTAGGTGTGCACATATGATTTCTTAAAGAACTTGCTTTGTACCATGGATTCTCTTATTTAGATCAGTTATTTTCCACTTAATATATTGTGCAATTTCCCCTGCCATTAAGGAAATCATGGGCCACAGGGTCTGCAGGCAAATGAGTGGATTCTACCTTGTTGAGCAGACCCTCAGGTACCAGGAGAAGGGCTTTCTGTTCCAACATCCTGAACCTTTGCGCCTTACGTTTCCAGTCCTCACCCTGTCACCTGACAGTGAATCTGGGCTGCTGTTTTCTCGCGCTAAGCCTTACTGCTCCACCCCGAGCCTGACCTGCCTCATCACATCCACCCGCAGCTCTTCCTCCCAGCCTTCCCTCGTCATTATTCACACAACAGAGCTGTCCTGAGCACCGCCGCTGTGTGCCAGGGCTTTTCCCTTGAACCCTCGCCCGGAATGCAGTGTCTCTCTGTGGCATGCGGGGCAGTGGGCTCTGGGCTCCCTGGCCGTGGACCCAGACCAAGGGTGAGTGAGCTTCTGCTCGTCAGCTCCTGGGTCCCCAGATCGAAAGGGACAGGGTGTACAGAGCAGTGCCAGAAGTCAGGATTTCCTCCCCCTGCAGGCCTCCCTCCTCCGGGACAGCAGGTGGGTGGCTGTCTGTGAGGGACAGACGCCAGGCTCGGGAGCGGGAGCAGATGCCCCTGAAAACCTCCCCATGGCTTGGTGCCGTCAGTCCTGGGTCTCTGCAAGTCCAGGGCCTCCTTCCTCTGCTGCCTCCTGCCTGCCTACACCTGGCATGTAGGGATCCCACCCCCGCCCTGGCTCAGGGGTTCCACCTCCCTCTTCCCCCTTTGTCTCTAGGTGGTGATCCTTCAGGGCCCAGCCAGAACCCCAGGCAGGTAAGGGAGGCTATGGCAGGAGGTGGATCTTCCCAGGTGGGCTGAGCAGGGAGCGTTCATTGCCTACAGAGGCACCGCAGCAAGATTGGGGCTGCACACCCACAGCACGGGGTGTCTGCAGAGAGGCAGAGACAGGGTGGGGCAAGGGCTCCCCGGACCTCTCTCGCCCACCACAGGCCGGTGAGAGGTGGGAGCCTCAGTACGCAAACCTGCAGCTGCACACATGGTCCCGGCGGGAAGGGCCGGTGACGCCGAGGCAGGTGGAGGTGGAGTACAGCACGGTGGTGAGTGGGAGCACCAGGCTCCCCGGCACAGGGACCCTGGCCTGTGTGGGTGGCACCACTGGGGAGTGGCCAGAGGGGGAGGGGCCGGCTCCAGAACAGGCGCCCAGAAAAAGGGCGAGAGTGGGTTTTGCCCACAGAAGGGCTTGGTGTCACTGTAGCTGGAGGTGGGAGGAGGGAAGTGTTTCGGGTGGCCCCTGACCATGGCCCAACAGTCCATAAAAGTGCAGCATTTCTGGCACCTCCTGCGTCCACACACTCAGGGCTAAAGCTGGTGATCTGTCCCTCCCTGTAGGGGTCCCGTCATCTCTTTGGCCTTTCAGGATTTTGTCTCTTACCCAGTGTAGGCCAACCCTTAGAACACCTTAAAGCAGGATCATGGGATGGGCTGCCCCCGAGCTCCTGCCTCAGTGTGACGCATCCTTTAGTGGGTAGGGGTTCAAGCAGAGGCTGGGGAGAGACGTAAGCATCAGACTGGGGCTGCCGGAGGGACCACCCAGCTGGGAACCCACTGAACCCATCTTGGATACACAGACTGAGGCCATGGAGGGTTGCTGGTCTGTTCCAGAAAAGTGCCCAGCTCCCTGGGATGTGCCCCATCTGGCACCACGTACCCAGGCCGCTGTTCCTGCACCATGCAGAAGACCCTGACCTTTGTCATTTCCATGTCCCTGAAAGCCATGTGCCTCCCTGGCCTGCCACCAGTCTGCAGAGGGTGAGGCGTGGTTTCACCCCAGGCCATCGGAGCAGCTGGCGGTGTCTGTTTACACTTGATGGCTCCCGGCCAAGAGTGAACCCCACCCCTTCGTCACATGTCTTCTTAGGTCCACACAGCCACCTGGGCCTGGGACCAACAAGACTTGCTCGTCTAACCTAGCGCCCGATGATCTCCAAGTGACCGGGGGTGGGGGCACAGTCTCACCCTTCAGCCAGCCCCCTTCGGCCAAGTCAGCGACAAGTCACGACCTGTGCTCGCAGCACGGAGGAGCCACTGTGGTGCCCTCTGCCATTCAATCTCTGCCTAGAGGGCTGGAGTCCTGCAAAGCTGCTTCTGAGCCCTTAGGGCAGGCCCGCTATAGAGTCACGGCCAGGATGTTCCTTCCAGTGGAGAATAGCGGTGTCTCCGGGAGCCCCAAACCCCTCAAGGTCTTGTAGAACAAACCTGGCTAAGTCAGCCTTGAGGATCCCAGGGACCCCCTGTTCCTCTGATCTCTGCTCTCCACGTAGGGCAGAGTATGTGGGCGGGCAGAACGGCTGATCTGGGTGCTGGCAGGAGGAAGAGGCCAGGACAGTGGGGAGGCGGCAGCCCCCACAGTGAAGGCTTCTTTGGGCACTGGGGGTCTCTCTGCAGGCAGTCGCCAGGGAAGATCTTCACTGTACCTCAGTGGTGTTTGATTCGCAGAAGGAGGACTCTAACGCCAATGGGGCTCCTCGCCAGGGACCCCAGAAGGAGGAACCAGAGTACAGTGTGGTCAAGAAGCCCGGGAACTGCCTTCTTGGCCCATCTCCCCCTTAGCCTGCTCCCTCGTGGGGAGGGCCGTCCCTCCCGCACCCTAAGCCCAGCTGGCTTCCTCGAAGACAAGCAGGAACCAGGGATCCGCGGGACCAGGGGGCCTCTCGTCTCTTTCCTCTATGCCCTGCTGCTTCCCGGCCGTGCGTGGGGATGACCCGGCTTCTCGGTCCCACGTGACTCTAGGAGTTGCCACGGCTCACATCGACGACACCTACAGAGAGCTTTGTAAGTCACAGCCTGCTGGGCGAGGAGAGCTGAGAGCCAGCAATGTTCCTGTGCAGAGGGTCACAGGGCGCCATGCAATGTCATCTCCCTCCCCACCTCCCAGATGAGGACACAGAGGCTCAAAGGAGAAAAGGCCGACCTGGGGCTCCAGGACTGGTGGCGAGATTCTCTGGACTCTTAGGTTTATTGTTCAATCGATGAGACAGAAATAAAGTTTAAACTATCTTCTTAAGGGAGAAGAAGAAAGTGACTGAAATGACGCCTGCCGTGTCTGTGGCCCACATTAAGGGGAGTACCTGGCTTTGATGCCAGAGGAACTTTTTGTTTGTTTGAGACAGAATCTCACCGTGTAGCTCAGGCTGGCTTCCCCCTCCCCCAGTACCAGGGACTGAACTCAGGACCTTGCATTTGCCAGGCAGGCACGGCGCCACCAAGCTACATCCCTGGCCCCAGCTCAGGCTGGTCTTGAACTCACCGCGTAGGCCAGGCCGGCCTCAAATTCATGACGATCCTCCTGCCTCAGCCTCCAGTGCTAGGATTACAAGTATGCACCACCACACCCAGCTCACAGAGAAACTTCGAGATGCAAGGGGGGGCAGCCTTCAAGTTGTCACTGGGCGGGGAGGGTCAGCTGCTCTTCCCTCCATGGAGAACTCAGCAGTTTTCTTGCTGGGCAGATTTTTCAATTTGAGGTACACAGTGACCCAGGCTGTCTGGAGCTTGTAGTGGCACAGTGACTTCAAAATTTTATTTGCTGCCGGGCATGGTGACACATGCCAGTAATCCCAGCGCTCTGGAAGGCTGAAGAAAGAAGATCGCATATTTGAGCCCAGCTTGGGCAGCTTGGTAACTTAGTGAGCCCCTTTCTCTGGACACAGTGGTGCACGCCTGTAATTCCAGCACTCAGGAGGCTGAGGCAGGAGGATCATTGGGAGCTGGAGGCCAGCCTGGGCTACATAGTGGGTTCAAGGCCTGGCTGCATTACATAGGGAGGACTTGTCTCAAAACCAACAAACAACATTAAATAGAAAAGGGCTGGGGGTTTGGCTTAGTGTGAAGGCCCTGGATTCAATTCCCCGCACCACAAAACAGAAACATAAGAACAACAACCCCTGCCCTGCCAAAAACAAACAACAAACAAACAAACAAAAAACCTCACACATTTCTACACTCTTAGCTACTCCAGGTCTTGCTGATTCTCATCCTTAACAAAGCTTTGACCTTCTGTCTTTAAGAAATAAGAGTTGAAAGCAAGGGCATTTGATCACTGACATTACAACCAAATGGTGCCTGTGGGCTTTTTCTCTGCCTGTGTCTTTCGGAAGATTCCTCAGAGGGTAAGTGTCTCCAAAGGGTAGAGTGATGCTCTGGCTGGGTCTTCTTTAGATTTCATTTACTTTTTGGGGTTTTTTGTTTGTTTGTTGTTGTTGTTGTTGTTTGTTTTGTTGGGACAGGGTCTCACTATGTAGTTGAGACTGACCCAGAACTCACTATGTAGCCCAGGCTGGTCTCGAACTCAGTGATCCTCCTGCCTCAGCCTCCCGAGTGCTGGGATTACAGGCGTGCGCCACCCCACTCGGCTCTTCTTTAGATTTTATTTCTCTGTGTGCACGCGTGCATGAGTCCTCCTGGATACTACCCCGTCATTTCACTCATATCCTGCATTGCAGAGGGGGAAACATGAGCTCGCCACACAGGGGCACAGCGGGACACAGCCAGATTGTGCTGGGTGTTGGCAGTGGGGCCTGTGGGTGCAGCGAGCCCTCCCCAGGCCTCAGCCCCAATCTGGCTGGCAAGACTGGGTAGGGCTAAGGGTTCTTCTGCCTGGGAGAGCACGGTGGGAGCTGGGCCTGCGGATGGGACCCCATTCCCCTAAGGAGGAAGTGGGGAAGCTGTAGCCAAACGTAGCAGAGAGCTGGGCACCATCACTGGGAGGCTCCAGTCCAGGGCCTGGGGGCGGCCCAAATGGGTGCGGGGGAGGCTTCCTCTTCCTGCTGTGATTTGCTCATCTCCAGGGAAACCCAGGCTCCCGCCGCACAGCTAAACGTAACTCCCCTACCAGAGCTGCTGGTCCAGCTTCTCTTTCCTTTATTTACCACTTCGCCTCCTCCTGTCTCTCCATGGTGCCTAGGGCATCATTCATTTCTCACTCATTCATTCCAGAGCACCCATGGGCGCCCTGCTCTATGCCAGGAAGTGAGCTGGACCCCGGGGGCACAAGGACATGCGTGACACAGCCCTGCACCAGATGAACTCTGGGGCTCAGGGGGATATGGACTTGGTCCTTCTCCACCTACCCCCCACTTGGGAGAGAATGTTTCTTTAGGTGCTTCTGCTCCACCAATAGAGGCAAGCGCTGAGTGCAGTGGAGTGTTGTCATCGCAGTTACTCTGGAGGCTGAGGCAGGAGGATTGCAAGTTCAAGGCCAGCCTGAGGAACAGCCTGTCTTGAAACAAAAAGGGCTGGGGAGCCGGATGTGGTGGTGCATGCCTATAATCCCAGCACTGGGGAGGCTGACGCAGGAGGATCGCTGTGAGTTCAGGACCAGGCTGGGCTACATAGTGGGTTCCGGGTCAGTCTCAACTACATAGTGAGACCCTGACTCAAAAGAAAAGAAAAGAGCTTAGTGAGTGTTCAGGGAACCAAGTGTGCAATGAGCCCCCCGCCGTGTTTGCCCCGGAGGGTGAAGGAAGGCAACGTTTTTAAAGGTAGAATGAGGATGTTACAGAGCTGGTTTGGAAGTGGTTACGCTCATCTGAATAACAACGGTGGCATCAACACAAGGTTGGGCAACCAGCGGCTGGCACGCATCATCGTGGGGGGCCTTTGTGGGAGGCTACAGTTCTTTGTGTAGAGTCGCTGTGATTTTGGGCAAGATTGTGGTTTTGGCGGGGTCTTTTGTGACAGTCTTTGTCATCAGAAAAATAGGGGTAAGAACTCCCTTGAATGCTGAAATCTAATCCCCACTGTGAAGTATTACGAGGCCAGACCCAGGGACCTGTAAGAGGCGATGAGGTCAGAGTTGATGGGTTAAAGGATTATCTCCAGAGTAGACGTATTTAAAAAGTTGATCGGCTCTGTTTCCTGTGTGTAGCCCTCTCCCCATTGATTTCAGATTCTGTGAGAGCCCTGCACCAGCAAGCTGGCCTTCACCGGATGCTGCTTCTCAACCATCCAAACAAATCTCTTTTTCCTATAGATTTCCCAGTGTTTGTTTTCTGAGACAGAGTCTTGAAGTCACTATATAGGCCAGGCTGGCCTCGAACTCATAGAGATCTTTGGCCTCCTGAGTGCTGGGATTACAGGTATGGTATTCCAACAGAAGATGGATGAACACAGAGACCTCCAGTTGGACATGAGTGAGTCCATGTTGATTCGACCACATTCACACTCCGCGCTCTCTTTGAAAACTACGCCCCCCCCACACCCAATGACAATCAGTACTCAGAGGTACCACCATCAAAATTCACCACTGGGGGGAAAAATTCACTCTTGGGCTGATGTTGTAGCTTAGCGGTGTAGTGCTTGCCTAGCATGTGCCTAGGAGCTGGGTTCAGTCCCCGGGACCGGGAGTTGCGGGGAGAAAGAAAGAGAAAGAAGAGAAATTTGCAATTACACACAGATTTCCTGCTTTTGATGGAGAGAGTGCTTTTCATGGAGGAGCTAAGTACGTGGCCACCACACTTGATAATTTTTCCTGCTTCACTCCAAGCTCAGGACACAGAAGAAATGGAATTTAACAACTTATGGCTGCCTTGAACCCTAGACGGCCCCTCTTCAACCTCAGTTCGCAATGTCCAGCTTTTCTTTTCCTTGGCTCTAATCAAAGTCTTTGGCAATTCTTTTCCATTACCTGTCTCAGTACATCTCTTGGGGTGGGGTGGGAGGACCGTAGCAGAAATTAAACCCAGAGCCTTGACCATGCTAGGCAAGGGCTCTACCACTGCGCTACACCCCTAGCCCTTTTTCTTTCTGTTTTTTGTTTTGTTGTTTTGGGACAGGGTCTCACTATGTAGTTGAGACTCACCTGGAACTTACTATGTAGCCCAGGCTGGTCTCGAACTCACAGCGATCCTCCTGCCTCAGCCTCCCGAGTGCTGGGATTACAGGCATGCGCCACCACACCTGGCTCTTAAACTCTTTTCTTTAGAAAGCTTTGGCAGAGACTCAGCAAAACAGATGGGACTTGGAGAGTCCCAGACTACCTGGGCTGACAGAGGAGGCCCTCCTGGTGCTACGCTGGTTGACAAAATAATGAGCTCCAGAGATGTCTAGATTGTAATCTCTGGAAACCGTGAGTACACTTTTTTACTAGGCAGAAGGTACTTTATACATGTGATGATGTGTTTGTTGGTGGGGTGAATGTTGAGCCTGAATTATCCAGGTGGGACAGAAAGGCCAGGAAGCATCAGAAGTGAGGCCCTGGAGCTGCAGGAGGGGCTCAGGAGGGAGGGGGCTGGGCGTGTCAGGATGGCCACAAGCTGAGCCTCAGGTGATGGGCCAGAGCGGGACCCTGACACAGCCACAGGTGGGCAAATGGGCACTGCTGAGTGGGCACAGCTAACATTTAATGCCCGACGTGACAGTACTAAGATGTGGGGCCTTAAAAGTGAATTAACCTCAGGCCAGAGCCCCCTGTGGGGTCAAAGCCCATATAAAAGGGCTTAAGGCGGAAGGGGAGCCCCATTTTCTCTTCTGCCCTCACCTGGATCCCAGAATCTTGACCTTGGACTTCCAGCCTCCAGACCCGGGAGGAAATAACCTTCTGTTCTGCCTAAACCAGCGGGTGTGTGGCATCTGTGAGGAGCAGATGATGAACTGAAGGTTCAGGGTGCGTTTGTGAGGTGGTCTCAGTTACTTTGTCTTGTTGCTGAGACAAAATACCTGATATTCATTGTTTAGCTCACAGTTTGTAGAGGTTTTAGTCCATAATCAGCTGTCTCCAAGGCAGGGTGGCATGGCAGAGGAAAAATAGTGCATGGCAGGCAGAAGGCAGCAAAGCAAGCAAGGGATGACCACAGCTCTTTGTATCTCTTGTATCTTCTTCAGGGAGGCTGGCACTCTTAATCCTAGACCCCCTGATCCTACACTGCCCTGTGAATCAAGTCTAGCATCACACACTGTAGATTCAGCCACCTCTGAAAAAAAGCCGCCTAAGCCTACATGAGGCATGCGGGGGGGGGGGCTCTACACAGAAGCCAGAACAGGGGATTAGGGTGAAGTCCGTGGGGATGGACTGAGGAGGATGAGGGAAGCTGGGTGACCCCACCCCGATGAGAAAGTGAGGCGAGGGACCCACAGCCCAGCTGCAGCTCACCCGAGGGTC